GGCCTTCCCCTGCCTGGGGAGTGGAGTAGGGATGACAAGGAGCAGGTGGGATGTTGGGGGGGATGGGAGGGAGAGGGGGCGAAGGGATTGACATGTGAAGCAAGCTTGTTCCTAATTTGAACTAATAAAAGAATTTAAAAAAACAGTTTATAATAACTGGATACTCATATACACATGTGTATGCAAGAACATGTGCACAACATGTGTGCAAAGGCCAGAGGACAAGCTCAGGTGTCCACTGTTTTTCTTTTTTTTTTTGGTTTTTTGAGACAGGGTTTCTCTGTGGCTTTGGAGGTCATCCTAGATCTCACTCTGTAGACCAGGCTGGTCTGGAACTCACAGAGATCTGCTACCTCTGCCTCCTGAGTGCTGGGATTAAAGGCGTGCACCACCACCACCCAGCTTTTTCTTTGGTTTTTTTAAGACAAGCTTTCTCTGTGTAACAGCCCTGGCTGTCCTAGAACTCGATTTGTAGAACAGGCTGACCTCAAACTCACTGAGATCTGAGTTATGCCTGTCTCTACCTCCCAAGTGCTGGGATTAAAGGCATGCATCAGCTTGGCCCATTGTTTTTCTTTTGAGGCAGGCTCCCTTACTGCCCTGGGCTGGGTTCCCTGGCCAGCAAACTCCAAGGGTCTGCCTATCTCCTCCTCAGTCCTAGGATTACCAGCAATACTACATACACCAGCTTTCTCTTTATATAATGGTCTCTTCTAAACTCTCAGGTATCAGGCACACACATGATACACATATATGCATGCAGGCAAAACACACACATACATAAATAAACCTAAAGAACAATCTTAAAGCTATCTCTCTAGCCCCAAATATTTTATCAGCATATATCTATTTTATATCTACAAATTACAATGAACTCTTTTATGGTTTTGTTTGTTTTGCGGAATCAGGGTCTTTTGCTATGAAGCACAAGCTGGCCTCAAACTCAGCTTTACTCACCTCAGCCTTCCAAACGCTGAGATTACAGCATGCAGTACCATGCCTGGCTTAACTGATAAACGCGTTTGTCCTATTCATTTGCTTTCAAGGATTTTTCTGTGTAGATAATTGTATTTTCAATTTTTACTTGTCTTACTGTACAAAGTATAATTAATTATTTCTTAAGGAAGTACTAAGGGTGTTTTTGATAGAAAACAGCAGAAATCAAGATCTAGGAGTTATGTGAGCTTATTGTTATTAGGAAGTCACTGCACATCCTTTCAATGGATACAACTCGGAGACGTTTACTGTTAAATCATGAGTTCACACTAACATTCTCAAATCAAATACAACATTGCCATCAAATTTTAAATATGGATTTCTTCTTAACCTTTATACCTTAGCCAATTATCATGTATAATTAATGTTAATTTTTTTTTAAAAAAGCACTAAAAATTTTGTCTTTGAGCCAGGTGTTGTGGCATACGCCTTTAATCCCAGCACTCAGGAGGCAGACACAGTCAGTAGTATTCTGAGTTCGATGCTAGCCTGATCTACATAGCTAGTACCAGGCCAGCTGGGGCTAGATAGAGAGACTATGTCTCAAAAAAATAAATTAAAATAAACGGGCTGGAGAGATGCTCAGAGGTTAAGAGCACTGCCTGCTCTTCCAGAGGTCCTGAGTTCAATTCCCAGCAACCACAAGTTCACAACCATCTGTAATGAGATCTGGTGCCCTCTTCTGGCCTGCAGGGATACATGCAGACAGAACACTGTATACATCATAAATAAATAAATCTTTAAAAAAAGTAAACAAAAGATGTAATCTCAGTCATATAAATATTAAATAGCATTAAAACCCTATGTCTTCAAAGAATTTAGAACAAATACCAATGGAGATGTCAAAGAAAATCATCTTTGAGTTGGGCAGCAGTGGTGCACACCTTTAATCCCAGCACTCGGGAGGCAGAGGAAGGTGGATCTCTGAATTAGAGGCCAGCCTGATCTACAGAACAAGTTCCAGGACAGCCAAGGTTATAAGGAAAACCTTTCTCAATGCCCCCCCCAAAAAAAACAAAAATAAAAAATCATGTTTGTACATTTTAATAAACTGGTTCCTCAGAACTACCGTGGTAATTATCCTTGATTATATATATGCCCAGAAGATTCCATTTTCATAATGCATTTTTGATAGTCACCACATATATCAATAAATTTTCCTATGGTATTCAAATTTAATATCCATAGTAATTAATCTTACCTTCTCTTTCATGTTTTCAAAAGTTCCTCCCTGGGCCAGTACAGTATTGGACTGCAAATCAAAAATGAATCCTGATGAATCTGAAAGAATATAGAGAAAAATATATTCAACATGATACAATTTATATATTTTACTCATCCAAGACAAAAAGATCAAGAATAGCTACTTTCCCCACATGTAATTACTAATAATCCAGTTACTTAGAAAATCCATTACATAGATAGCTCATATATAACTATATTATGAATTAGCCATAAAATGAAATTCTGGTTTTTTTAAATTTATTTAATTTTTGCCTGGCATGGTGGCACACACCTTTAATCCCAGCACTTAGGAGGCAGAGGCAGGTGGATCTTGGTAAGTTCAAGGCCAGCCTGATCTATATGGTAAGTTCCAGGGCAGCCAGAGGTACATAGTGAGACCGTATCTCTAAATTTAAGAAAAAGGAAGAAAGAAATTATTTTATGTGTATGAGTCTTTGCCTGCATGTATATATGTCACCACATATATGCCTGGTCCCTGTAGAGGCCAGAAGGGGCATTGGATCCTCTAGAAATGGAGTCTTGGACAGCTGGGAGCCAGCACATAGGTACTGGAACCAAAACGAGGTCCTTTGCAAGAGCAGCAAATGCTCTTTTTTTTTTTTTTTTTAGTTCTAGTTAGGGAACAACCTTATTTCAAGTCCCTGCTCCCTCTCCCTCCCCTCACCCCCCACCCCCAGTCTACCCCCCACCCCAGCCAGTGCTCTTAACTATTTATTTTTTTAAAGTAGGTTTTAAGGAAACTAGCAATATGCCAACTATATAAAGAGTATCCTATAGTCCTTAATCTTTTTCTTAATTATCCTACCTTAATTTATAAGCCCCCCCTAAAAATGTTATAAGAAGCTGCCTATGATATTGTGGGTGGAGATGGAAGCATCTGTAATTAGTAGCAAACAAAAGTAATTTCTGTCTTCCAGATTGCCATGCATATATTCTTAGACTCTGAGCTTCATGAATACATTCACTGACTGATGTCCCAGATTTGATGTATGATGAAGCAATGTATCCAAGTTTACATTACCAATACCATATCCAAGTTTGTATTCAGCAAATGAAACTGTACTCAATAAGCAAGGTAAATGAAACTAAACCTGGAATGAGTTATTCAATGTGAATGATTAAAAATAAGGTCTAGATGTTGGCTGTGGATGATGCCAGGAAGATGTGAGAAGGTGGACTTGGACCTATGGGGGCATTCAACCTTGGTCCAGCCTGAAGGGAGCATGGGGACACGAGGATGCTATCTGCAAAACACTTGTGGGTTGTGGAGCCCAGGAGCTCAGTGTCTCAAGGTTATAGGCAGATGCAGTCCCTTGTCCCCAAGTGCATAGAAAGCATTCCTTCCCGCCTGGTCATTGCAGAATGAGGCTGAGTCTGTCTCCTGTAGCCTCAGTTCACCTTTCACAGGACTGTCTCCTCCCTTTATTAGGCCTTTCAAAGTTCCACACTTGCTTCACTTTGCAGCTTCTTGCCCTTTAACTTGTTTCTGCTGTGCTTCTTCCTAATAACCTACATTCTTTTTTTTTTTTTTTAATGTATAGAAAAGTACTTTCCTATACATGTAGAAGTTCTATTCCCACCAAAAACCAGAAAGGTTAAGGAGCAGTAAAAACTTACACAAAGGCCCGGGTCCTTCTGCCCTAAGCAGTGGAGACCAGACAACCCTATACTAGAAGGTATAGAAGAAAACAGACCCGTGTGCACATTCAGATCTGTATAAAGTCAATTTTAAATTTTTGACAAAAAAATAATAAGGTCTAGCTTCTTGGTCCAAATTTAATAAAAGCTATTAAATTTAATCAGTTGCTGTTGTTTAGCTAAACTGTGACTACACAATCAGCAAATTACCAAAGCACTGTGAATTACCACAGCTCTGTGTGTGCATTTGTGTGTATCTGTGTGAGAGATACCAGCTACTGAACCATATACTTGGTAGGCAAGAGCTCTGCCACTGAGTTGCTCCACTAGCTGCACCTCTGCCTTAACAGCCAATGTTGCAATTCTATGAGAGGCAATCCTAGGAAAAGTTTAAAGAACTTCTCAAACTCTGATGTACACGTTACCTTTTAAGAAATCTTAAGCCAAATGTAGGCTGTGCCTCAACCAACAGTCTACTAAGGCTGAATATTTTTTGTCTTGGTTTGTTTTGATTTTTCAAGACAGGGCTTCTCAGTGTGTATTCCTGGCTATCCTGGAACTCACTCTGTAGACCAGGCTGGCCTTAAACTCAGAGATCCACCTGCCTCTGCCTCCCCAGTGCTGGGATTAAAGGCATGCCCAACCACAGCCCAGCTGAGGTTTAAGGTTTTGACCCTCAGTTGGTTTCAGCATTACTGAACCCCACTTAGGAACAGTTTGGGAATTGAAATCTCAACAAAGCAAGTAAAAAGGGAAACTGTGACAAAGGGAGTATGGAAAACATTAAATATGATAGTATATTCCAAATTATTTTGCTATTACTACAAACATTTTAATTAAAGTTTGGTTTAGAGTTTAACTTGTACCTTCTTTCCAAATTCTTCTTGGTTGCTATAGAAGATCCAAGTTTACATTGATCTTCTAAGATCAATCTAAGTATCTGAGTACAAGTATGAGAGAAAACATGAATATTGCCCATGTCATTTTTAAGAGAAATTATGTTTGCCAGTTACCAATGAATTGTGAATTCATTTAGGTTAATACAAACCTGGTATTAAACAAAAGGATCAGGAGGCACTTACACAAACTCAGTGTGTGTAAGCTTCAGTTTTCCAAATATCTACATAACATGGTTAGTTCTCAATTATCTTTATCAATTGGAAAAGATGCTGTATAGAATGGGAAAGACCCTAGATAGCCAAAGCACTGTCATCTAGAGCCTCCTCAGAGTACAGATCAGTCAAATGGTGTCATCTGAAAGCTACAGTGCACACCCCCACTCCAGTGAGCAGTGGGACGATACAAGATCATCTACTTATGGTTAGAGACTCAACCCACCAATCTCTTTTAGGAGAGGGGACACTTGAATCAAAATAGCAATTTATAGTTTCTATTCGAGAAGGATTATTACTAGCCTTTTAATTGCTCCCTTCACAACACACCAGCAAATATAAACTACAGAGAAAACAGAGCAGTTCTGCATTCAGCTCCCAAAATTAATTTCTATATTATTTGAGTTTAATCCAGCATGCCAATTAACATAAAACTAATATAGAAAGCAAACTGGGTGTGGTAAAGTATGTCTGTAATCTCACCACTAGATGGATGAATGACAGAAAAGGGGATTGGGAGAAAGAATAAAAGAGAACAAATCCAAATTGATAAATTTGAAATAGTTTAAATATAGGGTCTATTTTTGAAGGTCCTAGTATACTACATCTTGGCTAGTAAACACTGTATTCATCCCTGGCCCCAGGTCCTAAAGAGTTAGGGGACTAGGGAGACATCAGAACACTAAACATCAGAGAGTGTGTCAAATCCCCTGCAACTAGAGTTACACAGGACTTGCCAGGTAGATGTTGGAATTGAACCTGGAGCCTCTGGAAAAGCAGCCAACGCGCTTAACCATCGAGCCAACTCTCTAATTCACAACTCATTTTTAAAAAGCCAGACATGGCTGGGCATTGGTGGCGCACGCCTTTAATTCCAGCACTCGGGAGGCAGAGGCAGGCAGATCTCTGTGAGTTCAAGGCCAGCCTGGTCTCCAGCGAGTGCCAGGATAGGCTCCAAAGCTACAGAGAAACCCTGTCTCAAAAAAACAAAAAGAAAGAAATGCATGACTGTGTTTCTAATCCCAGCCCAGGGAAGGCAGAGACAGGCAGATCCCTGGAGCTTGCTGGCTAACCAGCTTAGCCTCATCAGTAAGCTCCAGAACAATGGAAGACCCTGTCTCTGACCTGGGCATCATGGTGCATGACTTTGATTCCAATACTTGGGAGGCAGAGGCTGGCATATCTCAGTGAGTTCCGGGCCAGCCTGATCTACAAAGTAAGTCCTGAGCCAGACAGGGCTACACGGTAAGATTTTGTCTTTAAAAAAAAAAAAAAAAAGAAAGAGAGACAAAACTGTCTTAATATAAAAGCAACTGAGAATTACCAAACTGCACAGAACTAAAGCTATGCAATAGCTTGGTAGTGCACATCTTTAATCCCAGCCCCAGCACTCGAGAGGTAGAGGTAAGTTGATCTCTGCTAGTTTAAAGCCAGTTTGGTCCACAAACTGTGCGTCCACACAGTGAGAACCTGTCTCTAAATAATTAAATAAATAAAATAATAATAAACCATGCAATAGACTCCCACACCACCACTATGGAGTAGAGATTACCCACCTTGGACGCTATCCTGAGAAGTTTACCAAAGCTAACATAAATACACAGAGGCTCCCTAAAAGTACTGAAGGGAATTTTATTGACAGATTTCTCTTTATTGAAAGACCTGCCCACCCCCAATTCTAGTCTGCTTATAGCAAACTTAGGTGTATAGAAGATTTGGCTCAGGTATAGAATAAGCTGAGGGATGCTCAGAAAGCTACTAAATTTGTACCTTTTATTTAGACTGCTTATACCATTTCCCATGAATACAGATGATGACAAATTATTTCCTTTGACAAAGTGAGGTGAAAAATGGGATTATAATCTGAGAACCCTCCCCATACTTTGCAATGCTAGGCACATCAAACTCAAGGCTTCCTGCATGCTAGGCAAAAGCTCTACCCCTGAGCTATACTCCCAGCCTGAGGCTTGCTTAATTTTTCATTGATGAAAAAATGAGAAAGTCAGTTACTATCCCTTGTCCAAAGTAACACCCTGAGTCCTGCTGCAGAATCGGGAGTCAGGGTTTTATGTTAGACAACATTGCTGCTGAGACTCACTAGATACTCTACTTCTCAAGGCTCCATTATTCTAACAGTACCTTGGATATCACAGCTTCTTGCTACTCACTGATATTCCTCACACAGATATACAGCAAGATGAGGAATAATACGATAAACATTTTAAGATGGCCAAAGAAAAGGTAAGATACAAGTAACAGGTAATATTAGAGACAAGGAAATCTGGAAGCCCATATAACCTGGAAGTGCAGCTACCATTAGTCATCTTTATTATTTTATTCAACTCCCTTTTGAAAATTAAAGAGTAAACTCAAGAGCCCACAGATGACTATGTAGGTAAAGGCCTCACTGTCAAGCCTGAGGACCTAAGTTGGATCCCTTGGTCAAACAGGAGAAGGAGCAAATCAAATCCTGCCAAGTTTTACTCTGGGCTCCACATGGGAGTTGTGTCATGCACATGTCCCCACACATACACACGCAAATATAAAATAGACAAACAAATACAAATTTTTAAAAACTGAAAATAAATGCCTGAACAAATATAAGCTCATATAGACGTGGCATTGCATGAACTGAATATACCTGGCATGTGACAATCAAAGTGACCATTTCTCAGACGTTGTCTCTCACTGGTCTGAGGCTTGCGAACTAGACTAGGATGGCTGGACAGTGAGAACCAGAAAGCCACTTGTCTCTAGACTACAAGATGAATAGAAGGGAAGGAGAGAGAGGAAGAAAGAGAAAGGTGGGGTGTGAGGGAGGAAAGAAGAAGAATAGGAAAGAAGGGAGGAAGGAGAGGGAAAGATGGGGTAGGAGGAAGAAAAAAAAGGGGGGAGGGACAGAAAGGAAAGAAGGGAAGGAGGAAGAGATGGAAGGAAGGGAGGGGTAGAAAGGAAAGGAGGGAGGGACATGAGGACATGTGTATGGCTAAGGGGACAAAGCAGAGAGGTAACTTACATGGTAGTTCATAAAAGATGGGTCAGGAAGTTGCCAGAATAAATACAATGGGGAGTGCAGTTATAACTTAGCTCTTTCCTTATCAATGAGCCTTAGACCTCCTTTTTCTCATGCCAGTTTGAAGAGTAATTATAAACTTGTAAGTGGAGCTGTTTCTTCACATTAACTATTGGAAAATGTAGGAGCCAGAGTTCTACTGTACAAATACAAGTGTCAAGTAAGAAAGCTATTGTCACCAGATGGTACAGTGCACAACTTTAATCCCAGCAATCGGGGGCAGAGGCAGGCAGACCTCTAAGTTCTAGGACAGCCTGGGCTACATAGATCCTGTCTCAAAAAAAAGGCAGAAAGGAAGGAAATCAAGCAAGCAAGCCACTGTCAAAGAACTGCTAGCTAATGCCTAGAATATTTCCAAGCTTCAAAATGGAAGACACCAACAACTCTAGTATGTGAGTGATAATCTTCTTCTGCTAATACTACTTAATACTACAATGAAATCACAGCTTCCAAAACTACGAATAGCTCTGGCACATTATTTTCTTTTGAGGTTTTTGAATTTTCAAATCAAAATTAAAAGCATTTCCACCGTATTTAATCTGTGAAGACCTCAATCCATGGAATTCTGTTTTGAATTAAAGAACATAATGAAAATTAAAATGAACAAGAGAAAAAAGTCAAGACACCTATGGTCACTCTTTAAATGAACACTCAACAGCCACGTGCAACGGTTCTGATGCTGTAATGGTTCTGGTGCTGTTACACTTCTGTAGCTATTCTAGCACACTAGAAAAGAGTTCTACTCAGCCTTTGTTTTGCTGCTCCTCATTATAACCTCTCTTGATACTTCTTCATGTCTGTATTTTCCATTTGCCAGGGTAGCAAACCCGGAAAGAAAGCTAACGAAGGAAACAAAACCTGGAAGCATTCACTCTTACTCCATTTCCTGTCCCTAGGATTATAAAGCCTAGTGCAGGAAGTCAGCTCCTACCGCACCTCCCTAACGTATGCTCATGCTACAAAAACACACTATCAGGTTACTAGATCTCTAACAAATTTATTACAATTGTATAAATCTGTCTGAGTAGAAAAACTATTTCTAATGAGATCAATTCCCAGACTTATCCACAAAACTAAGACCTAATATAATACTTGCAAAATCATTCTGAACACATTACTACAGTAATAGTTTCAAAACATAGAGATTTAAGTAATACTGTTTACAACTATGCTTTGGTTTTAACAATTTGCAGTTCTTGGGGATCAAATCCAGGTGCATGCCAGAAAGCACTTGAGCTTTGTTTTACCAAATGAGCTGTACTTCCCACCCCTATGCTTTGGTTTTATTTTCACAGTGCTAGGGAATAAAACCCACAGCTCTGTGTATGCAGGGCAAGTGCTCCATCACTAAGCTATACACATTCCCAGACGGCAACAACTATTCTTCTAACAATTTGTGCACATATGTTATCTTACCCTTCTGGCTTTGTTTCCTAGACATTGCAGTTTTCTCAGTGTCAAAAAAAAATCTTTGTTCAAGTTCTGGGATTTAAAAAGTCTGTAGTTGGAAGTAACAAATACAAAATCCTGGTTGTTTAAAATTCTGTTCACTAGCTGTTAATTTCTTTTCCTTCTCTGGCATTAACTTCTTGTCAGGATGTATCATTGCAGACAGTCATGTCTTTTTCCAGAGAGATTCTAGAAGGAAAAATACAAACACATTTACTATTACAGTAATGAATGTCAGTAAAAATTGTGTAAGTGACATTTGTGGGTTTTCAATTTCTTCAAAACTAGTTTTAGTTAACGAAAAGCACCATTTCCTACAGAAGACTTAACCTTATAATCTGATTGTCTTAGCTGAAAAGTGTGCTTTCTCTCTTAGTCCCTTTTCCTCTCTTTGGGACTCAACATATCTCTGACACTTTGGCCTGCACACATGGCACAGAGACATAAGCACAGCCCTAACCACTCCTGAAAGCTTCTTTTTGCATGAAGATTATTACAGAAAGCTACAACTGACCCAAATGCAGAGCACTACTCACCAGGGGTGCCCAGCCCAAACCGATACATCTACAACACAACTACTATACTGAAGGCTTAGGGAACACTGTGGAAGATGGGGAGAAAGAGTGTAAGACACAGGAAATCTGCTGCAAGACTGTGTCTAGCGAAACAGGGAAGCTACATGTACAATACTCAACTATATATAGTTGCCCAAACAAGACCTGAACAATGACAACATCAGCTGTCAGGCCATGGATGAGGGAAATCTCTCCAGACCCCCATCCTTAGATGAGAACATATAGGTAGTTAATAACTGCTGAGAGAATTAGTCTTCCCCAGGGATGATCCAATCCCAGGTGGTCACCCCTAAAAACACACAAAAGCAACACTAAATGTACTCAGCAGATTGCATTTCATATTTTTGCATACATACATACACGTAAGAATAACTAAAGGGACCATGAATTGGAGATAGGAGGGAGCCAGAACATGGGAGAAGTTGAAGGAGAAGAGATAATCCTTTTTTGGAGACAGGGTTTCTCTGTGTAGCCTTGGCTTTCCCAGAACTTGCTCTGTAGAGCAGGCTGACCTGGAGCTCACAGAGATCTACCTATGTCTGCCTCCTATGTCTGTCTCCTGAATACTGGGATTAAAGGTGTGCATCACCACTGCCTAGCTGATATAATTGTTTTAGTTAAATACATTTTAAAGTATATTTTCTTTATTTTGAGATATTTTCAGTTCTTCAAATCTGTTATTGAACAGAAGAAACTATTAAAAAATACAATTGAGGGGGCTGGAGAGATGGCTCAGCGGTTAAGAGCACTGACTGTTCTTCCAGAGGTCCTGAGTTCAATTCCCGGCAACCACATGGTGGTTCACAACCACCTTGAATGAGAGCTGGTGTGCGGGCAGAAGACTGAATACATAATAAATAAAATTTAAAAAAAAATACAATTGAAGCCAGGCGGTGGTGGCCCATGCCTTTAATCCCAGCACTCAGGAGGCAGAGGCAGGAGGATCTCTATGAGTTCGAGACCAGCCTGGTCTACAAGAGCTAGTTCCAGGACAGTCTCCAAAACCAAAAAACCAAAAAACAAACAACTGAATCCCATTATTACTGTCACCATGGAAATGACTTAAAAATAAATATTTCACACATCAATATTTTGTTTTCCCATTTTCAATTAGTAAATCAGTAAGCAAATAGTACATGGTCTGTTAAGAATGCTCAAAATACACTGCTGCCCATGGTACATACAAAGCCCACTGGGATATTTGTGGTCTGGGTTGCTTCCTGAAGCCATGTTAATGTTTGTGGTTTCGGGAGAGCTGGCCCCACCCTTTGCTTGTGAGCTCAGGGCAGGTAAAACAACCACCATACATATAAAATTTTAATCCCAACACTCGAGAAGCAGAGGTAGGTAGATCTCTGTGAGTTCAAGGCCAGTCTGGTCTGCAGAGTGAGTTCCAGGACAGCCAGGGCTACCCAGAGAAACCCTGTCTCAAGCTGCCCCCCATTTTTTTTTTAATTCTTAAATGTACAGATTGTATTTACATTTATGCCTGACTTGTGCAGGAAAACTAAAACAGCTTCAGATAAACTAACTGGCCCCAACAAAACGGCTAAAGGTAAATTGGAAGAGACCAACAAGAATGATAGCAGTCAAGGTAACTCATACCTATAGGAAAGGAATTGCAGGGGCTGGAGAGATGGCTCAGAGGTTAATACTGGCTGCTCTTCCAGAGGTCCTGAGTTCAATTCCCAGCACCTACATGGTGGCTCACAACCATCTATAATGAGATCTGGTGCCCTTTTCTCACATGCAGGCATACATGCAGGCAGAGCACTATATACATAATAAATAAATAAATCTTAAAAAAAAAAAAAGAAGAAAGAAAGAAAAGGAAAGGAGTTGCTTTCTCCACTATGTGAATACTTCCAACCAGACATTCTGAAAGGGGGTAGCTTTCATCTGCTAAGTCACTAAACACCCTGAATTATTTAGCAGCAGTTTAATTAAGCTTTCTTCACTTTTTTCTAGACAGTCAAATGTTTGTTTTAGCAAATACCAAGAAAAATATGATCATAATTAATTTAGTAGGAATAAAATACATATCCTGTTTTATGATGATTCTTTAAATAGTGAGTAATACAGATATTTAGGGCTGTTTCTTAGGATTTACTTTCATGTTATGAAAGTAAAGTGTATGAGTGTTTGCAGTCTTAGGATTTACTTTCGTGTTACATGTGTGAGTGTTTGCAGGTGTGTAAATCTTAGGATTTACTTTCATGTTATGTGTGTGAGTGTTTGCAGGTGTGTAAGTGCACCACAAGAGAGCACCAGACCCCCTGGAACTGGAGTTCTAGAGGGTTATAAGATACCAGGTCCTCTTCAAGAGCAGTAAATGCTTGGTCTCTAAGAATCTCTCCAGTCCCAATCCATGACTCTTCCATCCCCTCAACTATTTAAAGAGATGTTATATTACTGTATTGAATAGTTTCTAAAAGGAAAAAAGAAAAGGTTAGTGGGTGTACTATAATCCCAGCACTTAGAGGCTGATACAAGAAGACTGCTGGGCATCCAAGGCCAGCCTGGGATACATAGCAAAATCCTATTTCAAAAAACAAAAACATCTACTTAACCTATAATATGGTTGGGGTTTCATTTGGTTTTCTTTTGTTGTTGTTTGAAGAAGGTTATCACTGTGTAGCTCTAGATGACCTGGGACTGAGAGACTGGCCTGTTTCTGTCTCCTCAGTATTGAGATTAAAGGCATGTACCACTATGTCCTACCAACATGGCTTATTTAAATATTAGTCTGGGCTTTGGGACTAATAGTAAAGAAAAGTCTAATTCAAATAGAGGTGGATCTCTCTTGCTCACAGGGCAAATATTTAGATAGGGGTTTGTTTTTTTTTTTTTTTTTAAGTTTTATTTTTTGTTGTTGTTCACGATGGCCTGGAACACACACACTCTTTCTGCCTACTTGTATGTATTGTTGTTATTACAGGATTATACAGTCATGCTAGCCTGTCTATACAAATTTCCAACTTAGCAAGCACTGCTTTCACAATGAGCCTCCCCACAACCACCTAGTCACCTTTGCTTTGTTCCAAATTTCTAATGTTTCAATAAAATTAACATCAGACCTGTCAGAAACTGCTGAGCATGGTTGGACACACCTGTGACCCAGAGGCCAAGCTGAACTACATACTGAGTTCTTGTCACAAAAACAAAGTAAGGTCTGGGATTGGAGAGATGGACAGTTCAGCAGTTATAAGCAACACCTTTTGCTCTTGCAGAGCACCCAGGCTGAATCTGAGCACTCAACCACATGGTGGCTCACAACCAACTCTAGTTCAGCAATCCCACACCCTTTTCTTGTCTCCCTGGGCATCAGGCATGCACAAGGTAATGTGTATACACATTAAAGACAGTTTTTTAAAAATTTAAAACTAAGCCAGGCGGTGGTGGTGCAGGCCTTTAGTCCCAGCACTCTGGAGGCAGAGGCAAGCAGATCTCTGTGAGTTCGAGACCAGCCTGGTCTACAAGAGCTAGTTCCAGGACAACCTCCGAAGCCACAGGGAAACCCTGTCTCGAAAAACCAAAAAAAAAAAAAAAAAAAAAAAAAAAAAAAAAAAAAAAAAATTGAAACTACTCCTAATAATATCAAACATAAGATATTACAGAGAGAGAGAGAGAAAGAGAGAGAGATCAGGATGGTGGTACATGTATATCACTCAAGGGGCTCAGGGAGAAAGTTTTACAGCTTAAAACCAGCTCAGGGTACAGAATGAGACTCTTGGAAAGAATTTAAAAATAAAAAAAGTCTGGCTCCAAGTTTTTGTAATGCACAAAACTAACAGTCTACATTTACTGGAGCAGCAACAGTCATAGAAAGGGCCTGAGAAAAACACAAATCAATTTTTTCCTATTCCATTTGCCCTGAAAGGTGCATACAAGTGGGGTACATGGACTTAATAACTTTTAAATTTCCAGTGTGTATTTTCCCTTCACAGCTGGAATAGATACTTTGTTAGATGTAGACTTGGTTGTTATTTATTTTTGCTTTTTTAATTTAATTTTTATTTATTATTTCATATGCATTTGTGTATTGCCTGCATGTATGTCTGTGTCAGGGTGTCAAATCCCCTGGAAATGGAGCTACAGGCACCTAAGAGCTGCCATGTGGATGCTGGGAATTGAACTCTGGCCCTCTGGAAGAGCAGTCAGTGCTCTTAACCACTGAGCCATCTCTCCAGCCCATCTTTACTTTTGAGACAGGGTCTTAGGCTGTCCCCAACTTGCTATGTAGCCAAGGATGATCTTAAATTTCTTATTCTCCTGCCTCCATCTACCAAGAAAAGGGCTTACAGACATAAACCAGCTTTCCCAACTAAAAGGTAATTAATTTTCTTTTCTTTCTGAGATGGGGCATAACTATGTTGCCCAGGCCAGCCTCATGTTATGAACTCAAGCAATTCTTGTGCCTCAACCTCTCATGTAGCAGGAGCTATAGGCATCTTTCACCATGTCTACCCGTAATGAATTTAAAATAGCTCCTATGCTCTAATACCACTATTAACTGGGTGTACCGCCCAAATCTGTAATGCCAGAATTCAGGAGGGTGAGGCAGGAGGATCAAAATTTGGGAAGGCAGCTTGGGCAACACCGTTAGACACAGTC